CAAAACGAACATCCTAACCTTTATCGGTCATGTAAAAGCTCTGGAGGTAAATTAGTAATAAAACCGACAGAAAAGATCGTTTCATGTTAGTTTAATGCCCCGGGGTTCAGTCTTATATAATCAGTGTCCACCATCTACCGGCTCCCGTTCTTGTATGTCACTTCCGTTCGTTAGCTTCTGTCCAGTGAAATGTTTTATCGCGTTCTCTAATTGAATTTTATCATGCGCTTGAACATGTATCGTGGTGCCACTTAATAGAATGTTTACTCTGATTGATTTGCAAAAACATGTTAATAAATGATTTAATTTTGTTACATCAAAATTATTTCTTGTTTTTTTTTTCTTTTGACGAAAAAATCACACGTTAATGTGAAGTATTTCATCATATTTGTTCACAAGAAAATTAAGAAAGCTCTTATTTAAAACCTTAATCTGTCAGCTGAACAATTTCTTAGACCATGAACTTAATTGAAATGAAATTTCTAAAATTACAGTTGACTACAAGGGCTTTTCCGTCATTTGCTTAAAGATTAATGAGAGACAACCAAGAAAGTGTTTCGGTGGCGACGTGCCAAGCCAAAACTGTTAACCGTTTGTAGAACTGTAATATCGATTGTGAAGTTTTACAGTTTTTAGCGTAGGTATTGTGAATTAGTTGTAAGGAAAACAATACCGATGTCTCAGCGAATTCTAAATGAAAACTGAATTTCGAAGAAACTAGGATAAGATATGAACAAAAGAAGGATTTACTACTGAAAGAATACATGGAGAATAACACCAGGTATTCCGAAACTATAAGCATTTTCTGCAACTTTAGCGATACACGACATGTCAATCTTGGCCAGTAAGTAATGTCGGCCTTTGACACGCATGAAAACAAAAACGAGTCAGTCATGGGGCGAGTACGCTTGGTTCCCATTGGTATGCCAATAGTGTGCTTGAAGCCAAATTTGACAAAGACAATGTCAACCATGAATTCGATCATTTTTCAGTGCTGTGCCGTTCACCTTTCTTTGAAAAGAAAACGCTCAGCTGTTAACGGAATGCATTTCTTTTTTAAACAGTATGATAACAAGACTGTTACGCTGATTTTATAGTATTAAGAATGGGGTTGTAATTAGAAGCTGTGATAAAAGTTTGGTTGAACAACAAGATGTATCGGAAATTAAACGCTGATAATATAGAGTTTAAATTTTGAAATATAATTTAAATGATAGAGGTCCGTGTCTTTATCATGATAAGTCATCGGGATTATCTTACACCGAAATATCATGATTAGTCAGTATTCATTCTTTGGAAATATTTCATAATATTAAGGTATGGTTTCCTTCTAGAACGCCTATTTTTCTACCTCATTAATGAAAACAAAGCTGTAAAGCGTCCTGCAATTAATCTTATAATTGAATGGATGTCACATCGTGGCTTATATCGAATTTATACAGACATGCTGGCTATTGCAGAGACATTAATTTCCAATTTGTGACGAATCACTTCGATTTCTGGATTGATTGATATTTAGCCAAGCCGCAGAAAAAAAGAAGCCCGTTGCTCACACTTCAGAATAAAAACGGCGACGAGAAGAAAATCCTGTCTCTTTTCCTTCGTTTAATAAGGTTCCAAGGTTCAATTTTTATAGCCTGGTCATCAGATTGAAAGACTGCACTGTGATCAATCAGATGTGTTTATTGCCCATTGATGCACGCCAAGTGACCGAAGGTCAAGGTTAATTCCATGGTAGCCATGCGCATGGCGTCATTTACTTTCGAATGTCCCCGGCGCTCGTTCGGAAGAATGAATAGGCAGCGGATTAAAGGCGCGATTTGCTGGATTAAAACAGCTCAATCTTGTTACAGAATTACTCACGGCTTTGTCTCTAAGATGCTATATTTGCATTTTACTGTAAAAGATGTGTAATTTAATTTACAAGGAGTTTGTTAGCTTCGACCTTCAGAATATAAATATGGTGGTTTTCTAAGATATCATGCACATGCATCATTGAAACCTGGATCTGTGTAAATGTCTTTGATGACATTAGTCTGTGGAGGACCCCATCATATCCTGTCAGTGGCGAGATTATGATGCGAGTTCTACGTTAATGGTAGCATGCCTATAAAAACAATTACTACTGAATTGCAACGAGGTGCTTTTTTACAAGAACAATATTTTGTGCTTGTGAAGGAATTGAAAAGATATCACCTTTGCTCTGAAAGGAGCTTTCTCATTATTGTATCTGCAATTGCACACCGTTGGATGTTATTTTCCTGCTGAATGTATAATCCGGTACTCTTTTTACAAAAGATCGACCAATCTTGTAATTCACATTCATCTGTAAATTACAAATGTAAATCTAAAATATGATTTTCAGATTTTACTTCATATTCAATAACAACTAAGTGCATGCTTGTCACAATTATCTCCACCATTCTGTCTCTTTGTTATATCTGTGGAAACGGACATGTCCGTAATGTCCTTAATCTATTATCTAACGCGGATAGAAAATTATCCTCCCTGATAGATACAGCCGTCATATAGATTCACACGTCTCCATCAAAGTGTCGCAATGTAAATAATTTTTACATCAGCCTGTCAGCTAGACCTGGCAGACGACTCGCTTGTTGTCCACAGTAGCTTCCCACATTACCGCCTCAATCCATCACCATGCGCCACATCGTGATGCGTGAAGTGATTCCTCACTCCAGCACACACATTGATGGTGGCGCGGGATGAAAGAGTTCACTGCTACCAGCAGCTGTAACCCATAGACAATGTCGCGCGGGAAAATAAGTTTCTGGATATCTACGTTGCGCATGCGGATAGAATGATTAACATTTCAGCTTTCGACTTGTGTGCAATAACGAGTCGGTGGGGAAAATTTTTAAAATTATCAAATTCAAATATACATTTCATTATCTTGTATATCAAAACATCAATAGGTCCTTTGTGGTTAATGTTGTGCACAAACATTATCGACTTCTTTCGCCTCCCCCTATCACCAAAATCGTGTTATTTGTATGTGGGGATTAATTGTCAGTTGCTACGTAACTAATAACATTGTCACCTGATATAGCAAGCTGGTAAAACTGTGTATGATAGCAGTTTGGATTTTAAATCGCCAAAGCATATATTTGTTTTAATTCACGTTGAGTATACCGCTTCACATCTTCATAAGGCATGGTTTAAACAAAACTAATGAAATGTCATGGATGAATGATATCATTACGAATACCGTTTTCTTTTCATATTTCTTAATTATGGGTGCTTATGTGTAAATGTGAACGAAGCAAAAACATTTTTAATGTTTTATTTTGATGGGTTTTTTTTATTTCATTTTGCTTAATACATATTCCTCGTGAAAATTCTGGCAATAACTTTTGTGTTTTTTTTTAACTTTGCCCAACCTAATTGACTATTTTAAAGATCTTTATTGAGTTTTTCAGTAAGTGCCATTGACATTTTGTTACAAAAATGTACAGTATATCTCAGAACGCCTGGTACCCTTGTTTGTCCAAAGAATCCCTCCGTAGCTACTGCAACATAGTTCAATTTCTCAAACCAATTCAAATTCTTTCATGGGACTTTTCCCGACAATTCAGAAGGTCAACGTAGTCCTTTTACGTCTTGGATAGCATAATCATAGAAACTTACACATGTTGGTTTTTACATCAAGTAATATCTTTATATCCGCAGAGGTATATATGGTGGTCGACGAAGTTTTGGAGAGAAAAGGTCAAATATTTCAAATTTTTTTTTTAATCCCGTCGTTTATAACAGTTCCGTAGTAAGCTCTGCAATTTTAAACATTGATCATACATTCGTATTTCATCTCGATACCAAAGGATTTTCACCTGATCTTTTAAAAATTACTACCTCATTATGGCAAAACATGAAGAAACGCATAGTAAGGTGAAATATAAATGTATCAAAATTCAAACAACGTGCTTTTCCATGTTTTTGTATGCTTCTGTCATTCTTTTTATTTTTGCGATGTGGCAGCTTTCTTTTGCATGCTTCCTCCTTTAAAACGGATAAACATGAATACAATACTTTTTTCGGAGCTTTTTCTTAACGTTGGTCTTATTTTTGTGCTTTTTTCAGGAATCTCCGTGTAAATGTTGACATGTTGGTATTTTCTTGTTGTTTTTTTTTTTACCTTAGTGTACATATAATTATAGTACAGCCGGCCAATTCATTACCATATCATACAATACTTACGCCAGTGCTAGTAATCTTCACAATGGTCACTTGTCTGATGAAAATGATTATATAGTCATCGAAACGTCGCACTTAAATCTTCTACTGGTTTTATTATAAGAACCTTTAATCTAATGAGTACAATACGTGTCACATATTGTTTTAACTCCGTTGGAGAAAATTGGAAAATTATAACCACGGGTAAAAAAAATCACAAACAGTAATACAATTACCCTGCCCTAGTCAGAAACACAAATAGATATAATCGGACAAAATATGCTAGGTTTACGTCAGTTTTACCCATCTGTTTATTGTAACATTTTATCATTTGAATCTGTATAGAAACAATTTCAGTTGATATATATATATCGCATGGCTTGGAATAATCTTACGGGTTTATTCTAAATAATTCTGTTTTTTAAACGATAGTGAATATTTTGTTGTTAAATTTGTCAGTTCTCAACGGATAATATGTTGACATAGAACGGATATATCATAGACAAGTTTTGATTTTTTCATTGGCGAAAAATGAATCCATCGCTGACTAAGACCAATGTTGCGACAGATATTCATTACTTGTTCCAATAGCAATTTGTTGTGTAAACTGAAAGATCAAAACCTGTTGGACAGTTTGGAGTGATGTACTGACCTCTATTCATTGACTTATCATCAAATCATAAATATTGTTTGCGAATGATACAGGATTTGTAAACTTGATATCCTGGTTAATAATGTTAGATATTGTATCTTTAATTATCACAATCCTCTATACTGACCATTTTTTGACCATGTACTTTTTCTTGTTTCAGCATATTTCCTGTGTTACATCAACAGCACGGTAAACCCGGTGTGCTATGCGTTGTGTAACGCGAATTTCCGGAAAACGTTTTGGAAGATCCTCACATGCAGTTTCACAAAAAAGGGCCCCACCCGAAGTCGTACGACAGCTTCAGCCATGTCATTTAATTTAACAAACAGATAGATGATGTAAACATGGCCCGAGGATAAATCATTGTTTTGTCTTCATATCCTTACGGTACCAAGTAACTTCAGTGGATATTACTTCTATCACCATGGTACCGAAGCACTTCATCGAATACCGTGTATATCGTACTATTTGTGAGAAGATTCGTTGGATACTATTTATATCATTGGTGAACCGATGAATTTCATTGGATGTTATTTATGTCATTGTGGTACCCATGGATTTCATTGGATGATATATATATATATATCTTCCTGGTACCGTTGGGTTTAATTGGATGTTATCATCATCATTGTGGTGCCCATATGAATTTCATTGGATGTTATTTATATCATTGTGCTGTTTTAAGATATTGTCTTATTCCTTGGCAATAACGTAACAACTCGTTTCATTTCATATATTTAACATTCAATCGGCATTTGTCGTGTCAAGAACACTTGCACAAATTCACAAATATTTATCGGAAGTGAGTCGGGCCTAAGCATGATAGATTTGGAATGGTGACAGAATGCTTCAATTATATAATTACAGTCAATTTTACAGTTCTCAATGTCTCTTGTTCAGACTCAGAAGACTTTTTGAACCTTTACATATTACTGCAATATAAAATACTGTTAATATTGAGATATTTGAATGTTTTAACGATTCTAGTTTGCGATCACGTAAAATTTAAGTGTTTATGTAACAACAGAACAACAGTAAAACTCATAATATAGAATACTTCTATCAAACTGCAATACATGAATGAACAGAAACATATGTCAGCAGCACAATGAATACAAGAAGAACACATCTTAAACAAGCTAGTGATGTGAGCATCTTAATGGTACAAAAGGAGGGGATTGTACTAAAATCAATATGTAAACAAGGGGAATAGTTTAAGGACTGCATATGTTGCAAGTTGGTACTGATGATCGTTAACAAAAATTTTTGAAAGCCCTAAACCTGTTAGTAAATATTTCTATAGTGTCTGATAGCATAAATCAGAGTTGATGAGTATTGTATATTCTCGTTAGATGCAGCTATACATTATGTATTTATACAACATATACCGCATTGTATCATCAGGCCACTGAGAAGATCCCCCTATATATTGAACGAGTCGCCCTTGGCAAGACATGTGTTCCCCTGTCGTCTATGATATCCACTTCTACACGATACCATCCTGGTTGTATATGGTCATACATTTGTTTAATTGATAGGACGACTGCATAAGGTGTAAAAATGTATATCAACATCGAAAATTTGCATTTACAAATAAAGTCAAGATAACGCCCAGAATGTTGGAGCGAAACATAAACTGACCATAATATTTTGAATCTTAAAATTGTTATGTCATTAATCTGCATATAGGGACCCTTGTTGTAGTTCTGCAGTGTAATCTACAGTGCAATGTATTCATATAATAAACTATTATTCTGTTCTAATGATAAAAAATGCAGCAAGAAAATTTGGTTGAAGTCCTATTTTTTAAAAGAAAGGTGCGTTATATATTTCATTTTTTTATCCAATGTAATGCTTTCGTAATGTAAAACTTAAAATCAAAATTTTCATTTCTTATGAGTATGACTCAATAGGATTAATATCTATAAACTTTCATCCATGACGACCTGAATTTTGATTGGAAAACTTTGCAGATTAAAAAAATCTATATTTATTCATATAATGCAGTGTCAGTTTCTTCTGTTAGAAATGTTATGAGATGAAATGATGATATGTTTGAGCATGATGTAAAACGAAAAAAACGGGTTCAAACACGTTCCTATTCCCTATTTAAGTTTTAAAGAATTTTTAATCTGAATGAGGTGTGTGTGGCATGGAGTGTTCGAAAGTATTCTTGACCAGTGCTCTTTCTGAGCTATTTGTCGATTGATGCACAGCATTGTTTGTTAGAACGGGAAATTAAAACAGAATTATTATGCACAATATTATGTTATCTTTTTTATCGATAAGCATTTTCTTTTTTGTCATGTTTGATTTAAACATCATGGTTTATGATCTATGACAATTGATAATCGAATCCAGACCTAAGCGTTTCATAACTACAACATAAAGTATATATAGATGTATACGCTTTCAGACTACTAAAACCGATCCTAATCACATATCCTACAGTTATTTTTTTCTCTGACAATTAAATATTAGGTAAGCAAAGAGTAACATTTGGCAGGGTAATGATCAAGATGCGAATTAGCTTTGATTTTGCTTTTAACAGCTGATCTATTTTCGACAATTAAATTAATTTTGAATCAGTCAGTCTCACCATCGTTTAATCATTATATAATTGAGATGATAATGACGATCACAGTCAATCATAACTAAGTGTAATGTTTATATTGTATGTGTTAGTGACATCAGAGATATGACACGTGTCGTTCACAGCCAATGAAAAAGTAGGAAATAATGTTGATATATTGTATGTGTTAGTGACATCAGAGATATGACACATGTCGTTCACAGCCAATGAAAATGTAGGAAATAATGTTGATATTTGGTTACAATAATATATTGCCAATGAAATCGTATGATATAATTTAGAGAGCGGATATTGGTCATTGCTAATCACAGTAAAAATTTTGTTATCGTCAAACTTTGGTGACAATCACGAAAAGCCGGACATAACTAAATACAAGAATCTCTGATATGACGGTCATAGAAAAGAAATTTAAAGAATCTGATATTGAAGTTTTTATTTTTGCTACAGTGTGGTGGCGAGGAGATAAAAACTGAATTATCATGTTGCACTAAAGCGCCACCAGACGACGAGGAGAAATACTAAGGGGGAGTAACTTGTTTTAAGGATTAGAGTTGTCCTATCTAATATTATCGACATGAACATTGCAAAGGTACTACTGTGCAAACATAAATGTAGCACCAACTTTCGTGTTTTCATTCAGCTGGGTTTGAATAGAGCGAAGTTATATATAATTTTTCACTAGTTTGACAAATGGATACGCTAGAAATAGATAAAACATATCCCTTGACTACCGATATGGCATCTGCTATGTTTCGGTATACCTACGAGACCAGAATTCGATAGTAGGGAAGAGCACATATATTTAGCCTTCCAACTAAAGTCGGCCAAGTCAGTCGTAGATGCCAATTAATTTCCATATCTACACTGTAAATCTGCACGTGCCAGACATGTTCGTTATGATCAATAGAAAGTATATCCCCTCCAATCCGAAGTTATATAAGGCGACAGTATTATCATTTCCATAAACTATTGTTAAGTCTCTTTTGTCCTGCAGTTTATTGCCTTCCTTATTGTCTTCTTGCTGTGGAATATCGCATCAGTCTGTAAACCGACATTGTAATTTTGAAATTATTTTCGATAACAAATTATCAAAACGTACATTGATGTATTTTCAATCTAAATGAAGTTACAGCTATATGGTAATCATTTTTGAAGAAATCACTTGGTGTGTAGGAATATCGGTCAGGACGTGTTTTTATCGACACAGAAATTGTGGCTGCAATACAGAAGAGGCGATGATATTTCTTGTACCAACAGTATCAACCAGTGAGACTTGAGAAATCTGTGGGAGCCAATCCCTGGGGAGTGGAAAATCGAACTTCCTTCCTTTATACAGTTTTCTGTGATATAGGTCAACCGATCTAAAGTACAAGGCTATTCCACCTAGTAAATATCCCTCCCAAGTATGCAAACAACAGTCTATCGCAAATCTGTCTAATCGTGCTTTATAGAGGTAATAAAGGCAAATTATCATGTGTCATATGTTAGAAATCTTTGGTTGTAAGGAATTACGCAAAAACTGATTTAGAATTGTTTATTTAACATTTTATGTAAATAGCAATTCCAGGGATATCATAATTCAGTTGTAGACAAATCGGACCAGTGGTAATATCAACGTAAAATTGTAAATACGTTACGTTACACAGGGTCGCACGGGTAATGGTTACACCAATCTCCATCGTAAGGATACCCCGGGGCGCCCTAAATGTAGCAAATTGTACGGAATTACTATACTCTGTAATCACCAGATGTAACTATGTCACCAATGTTAAATCAACCCACTTGGGAAAAAAGCAATCACACACTTCCACATTACTACGAGGACCATGGCGGAAATGACCAAATATGGAAATGATGTTGTTGCATTATTGAGTACGTGAAAAATAGTGGATGTATATGTTTTTCTTTTCATCTACAGTAACATTTTGTGTTATGCTTTTTTCTTTTAACAATTGTATTATCAAAGGTTAAAAAGACGATTTCATATTCAAATAATGACGCCTAGTTACGCCTATTCGTAAAAACAGTAAAGAATACCAACATGAATTAAATATTGGAATTCTAGCTGGAAATCGATAAAAGGTTGGGATATATCAACAAAGATACAGGGACAGAGGCAGTCCTTACCTCGATCACGAAGCGAAAACGAAGGTAATATTCGAAAACCCTACATAAAAGACATCCAGGTCAAGAGAAACGAAATGGAAAAACGCAATTAGAATCGAAAACTCAAGCCTCAACCCATCGAGGGAATTCAACATAGTCCTTCAAGATCACGGAAATGATCCTAATTCTTTACCTGTCTACCCGAAGCAATCAGGCTAACATCAAAATATAGAAAGTTCTTAATTAGAAAAATGTATAATCATATTTAGATTGGTGTTAAGTGATACTGTCCTCCTTAATTGGCACCTGTGGTGTCCTTGATGTCTTTTTCAGTGTCAATAAAAACCACTTTTCAATGACATCCTGTAATTTAAGAGGATTGTACAAAGAGGGAAATCAAATCACAATTTTAATACACATTAAAAACCAGAGTAAAGCCGGAAGAAAATGAATTATGTAGTATCATACCGCTGTTTCATCCTTCTACGACTGGTCAGTGATGCCTTTTAAAACCTATGAGGCGATGAGGAAAATAAAAATTGATCAAAAGAAGTATCTTCCATAATTAAATTTTCATATATCTGATGATTTCAATGGAACATCAAGTGTATATGTTTATTTTAAACAGTTCAACTATCTTTTAAATTCTTTTAAAACGTGGCATGCATGACTCTTGTTATTTTTAAAGACAACATATTCTTTATGCAAGTACAATTTATCGACAATGTCTTGTTTCCTTTTCTGTTATGCTCTTCGGCAAATCAAACCTTATGATAAAACAAATCTTGTCAAGAGGGCGT